GCAGCCAAGTACTTTTCGTAACCTCATCCGTTTTCTAAGGGGTGTAATTATATGAGAGAAAATGAAAGGAACTATAGTGCTTACTGAAACTGTGCTTATAGTGACTCTGTTTATAGTGCCTATGAACTTACTGTTTAGGTTGATCATAATGCTAATCATCTGTGCAGCCCGGAACCGACATGCTCTGACGAAGAAGGGATCACAGCGGACCCCAATCATTGAAGAAGTTGACGGAGGTAAGAGTTGAATACTTCTCAGATTCTGAAAAGAGAGCTAGTTTATATTTTCCAGCAACTGAAACTATCAAAACTGCCATTTCAGAGCCCTCGCCTTCCTTGAGCGATCTGAGAGACGATTTACCATCTGATCGACCGCCGAGATTTTTGGAAGTGATTCATGAGAATGAAGGTGTAAGTTGGCATCAACTGTGTCTTGACGATTTTTCATCACAAGCGTGCTGCGAGGAAGCCAACGATGAATCAGTCAGCTGTTTTGAAATTCAGGGGACCCTCGATTGGATAAAAGGATAAAATCTTAGCCCCCGATTAATCTCAATACCGTACCGGGAAGGGTGGAGGTTTGGGTAACCTGGGCGGGAGCCGATCCGGGATTTCGCTCCCCCATCGCATTTGTGGTAAGGGTGACACCTTTCGCTACACCACCTCCCCCTCGAGCGCTCGATATTCGTTCTTATTCCAGTAGATCATGAATGAGCATAGAAGCTACAGTTATACTCCGGGTCTGCCACCTGCCGCATTCATTACACTGTAATCGGGGAAGGAACCCTTTTGTGACCTAGATCGAGATACATATGTCTCCTGCGCACTAGAAAGGCGCTAAATTTTGTTGGTGGTGGCAGGCGTGATCCATCACTTCTAGGAATGCGCCCTGCACTCCACTCAGAAAGTGGAAAGTGTACTATAATGGAATTTTGAGGCCGCTTATAAAGTGGCTGTGGGCCGTTCCACGTAAAACCAGTACTTTCTGCGTCATGTACTCGACTTCCTTTCCGCACGCATCACTCACCCTGCAATCTAGGTCCCTGCTGTATTAGGTACCGATCTCTGCGAATACGACCCCCTCCTCAGAAGGGAGGCTGGATACGATCCCCTAGTCGCGGATTCCGTGACGTGTGCTTGACCCTGCTGGCAAGGCGCTCCTGAGCAGACGCTGCGTAGTGCCTTTTCCTAGGAAGGTACCCTTGTGAGGCCTCATCAAGCTGCAACATACCGATTCGGACGCCCACCGCGCCCGCCCGCCCACAAATGGACGACCGTACCTGATGCTCGTATTGCTTCATTTGCGAAGTAAAATATGAAGCG